CCAGGAGACTACCCTGACTCAACACATACATATTTATATACTTAAGGTAAATATACAAAGATGTAAGACCAAAAAATTTATTTTTATGCCCCATTCCCTAAAGAAGAAATAGAGGGTATGACAATGAAAAAAAGTTACATTATCCAACTTGAGTAATACAAATCAATATCCATCTACAAAACTGATGTTAACATCTAACCAAAGAAAAAAACTAATAACAGTAGTCGCCTGACCTTGGATGGTTCTACTGTTTTGTTCTGTGATGGCAACCTGAAAAACAAATTATTTTATAGGCACCTGGCTCATTATGCATTACAAATTAAATCTTCATTTATCTATATGCTCCAAACAGTACCAATCCATCGCCATCACTTAAAAACACATTGCCCTTCTTTCTAGCCTTGTTAATTTCCAGATGCTAATTAAATTTAAACTCATAAAAATATCTGTTTAGCATGCATGACAAGATCATCCCTCAATATCCATTACCCACTGTACATTCCAGCATGTTTACCCACTGTTTTCTGTTTACATTCTCATCTATATGCCTTAGTTTCAAGGGACAGACTGGGGACTTAACCTAGAATTCAATCTCTCTCCCATTTCAATTCCACCCAAGTTGTCCCCTCTGCTTGATGCCTTTGTAAGCAACTTTCTTTCAAATTATTGCTGAGAAGAATGACTTCCAGATAATAGCACTTAAATATGGAACAGCAGGATGATAAAGGAATGTTGGAGGAGAGCTATATATTTCAGCCCCTTTTCACCCGGCCATTACACAAAAAGAGAAGACTTTCGATCTCTAGAGATCCACAGTCACTTATTTATTGCCATAAGAAGGCTGACAGACAGTCTGAAAGCCATGCAGATAATGAATGGCATTGCTCACCACCAGCACCTAACATAATACATGCCACCATCCCACAGGGGCATCCCAAAGGCCTAGAAGACTCAAAGGATCACCCAGCAGGAAGATGATATTCACGTTCTGTTTTCTCATTAACACATGTCCTCACCAGTGGACAAATAGCAAGAAAAAGAGAGGAGCTCTGCCTCAAGATGGCCATGTTGCACAGAGGCAGCTCTGCGTTGCCCACCCTTCTTAGCTGGAGAGGTGCTTCTCTCTCAAGAACTTACACTGTGGCTTCAGATGTGTCTGTCCCACATAAGGCGGTCCATGCTGTCGTGCCCATTGAACAGAGAAAGGCAGTGCACCACCATGAGTACAATTACTCTCTGCAGGCAATGTCTAAGTGAAGGCTCAACTAATAAAAACAGGCTGCGGTACCCACCTTACCTCCTGTGAACTCCAAAAAAGGTAGAGATGAGCACTTTGAGTCACAGTTCCATCATGACAGAGGCATTCCTACCCCTTCAGCCTTTATTCCAAAGTTTGGTAAAGTTTTCTGTAAAAAAAAAAAAAACAGCAAATATTTTAGGCTCTGTGGGCAACATGAAATATGTCACATATTCTTTTTTCTGTATTTTTTTTTAAATTTTAAAAATGTAAAAACAATTTTTAGCTGGCAGGCCATACAAAAAACAGTCTACTGGCCATATTTGGCCTATGAGCTACAGGTTGACAACCCCTGTCTTATTATATAATACAGTGTACAAATCGATTTTCTCAAACTTGTGTAATATACAGACTCCTTCTAAAGAAAAAAAATTATCATTATACTCTAAGAATACATTCACAAATCCCTGGGTCCCACAAATCCCACAATAAGAGCTGCATTAAAATGGACTCTGTCACTTTAAGGAATCTCATCTTGCAGATGAATATACAATATACAAAGTTTTCAGTTATAAGGCAGTGGCCAGAGGATCTAAAATCAGCTTACATTAATGTTTTAGATTGCCTTGGAAATGAAAATCAGCCTTAAACACTGTTAGTTGAAAAATAGCTGTGTTCTCCCTGAAGTCTGCAGCCAGATCCATGCAATGCATGTGTAATTTATAGAGCGGAGAGGGAAGCCACTTTGCCTGCATTGCCAAACTGGTTAACATGATCATGATCTCACTGGGAAAAAGTGTGAGAAGGTAATAACTGAAAGTACCAACCGCCCATTTCTTTCTTCTCCTCATCTTTCCCCATCTTGCCCTTTCCCGCCTCACACTTGCAACCTGCTTGGAGTGACTGGTATTCCCTGGAGGTATGAAGAGGGGGCGGAGGCAGGTGGCATGTTGAGGTCAGACGACCAATAGGTTAAATTCTCACCTTCTAGTTCAGAAAACCTCGATCCAGGTAAAAGACTGACAATGATTGGCAGTCAATGAGTTCTAGCTGAGCCAAGGTTTTCCACTTTCAGCACCAGTCCCTCATTCTAGACTAAAAACATTCTTTGAGTTAAGAAAAGAGCCAGGTGCAGTGGCTCATGCGTTTATTCCCCCTGCTCTGAGAGGCTGAGGTGGAAGGATTGTTTGAGGCCGGGAGTTCAAGACCAGCCTAGGCAACATAGTGAGCCCTACCCTCGCCCCATGCCCCACATCTCTATAACAATTTTTTAAAGTTAGTCAAATGTGGTAATGTGCACCTGTAGTTTTAGCTACTCAGGAGTCTGAAGAAGGAGGATTGGTTGAACCCAGGAGTTTGAGGCTACAGTGACTTATGATCATGCCACTGCACTCCAGCCTGGGTAACAGAACAAGACTTTGTCTCTAGAATAAAAAATAAAGATAAATTTTAAAAGTTTAGTAAAGGAGGTAAGGGGATTTAGAAAGTTTGACATAAGTATTAGAAGGGATCAAAGGGAGTGATGAAATCTAACTTAAAGTTTGGGGATCCCAAGGTAGTTGATTTGTGCTCTGTTTCCTGTCTAGAATTTTGAGAGGCAGCTGTCTCATAGAGGTGTCCCGCATATAAAGGCATGGGGTGCAGGTGGGGGAAATAGATCAGACCTAGGGCTTACACAGCTGTTGGAACTAGTCCCACAAGAACTATAAAAACAACTGCTATTAATATGTTCAAGTATTTAAAGGCACATAGTGAGTGAGCCACTAGGTGATCTCAACAAATAAATAGAAACTATCGAATAAAACAATGGAAATTCTAGAATTGAAAAGTATAATATTTGAAATTAAAAATCTAGATGGATTTTTCAGCATATTGGTCACTGTAGAAGAAAGAATCAATGAACTTCAAGACAGGGCAATAGAAACTAGAAATTGAAGCACAGAAAGAAAAAAAGACTGAAAAATATAAACAGACCTCAATCACCCATGGAATAATATCAAGTAATCCAACATACTTGTTATTGGAGTCAGAGAAACAAAGGAAGGAGAATGGGGTAATATAATATGTGTGTGTGCATGAAGGGAAACCTCCCAAAAACCCAGAATTTGTTTATTAAAATGTGTGTATTTATTCTTATGTTTTCATACTTTGTTTTAAAGATGTGGGGTACAAGTCAGTATTGGGAAATCTATGAGCGGGTGAAGTCTGGGCCTCCAACTGGTCCTCTTGTCTCCTGGTTTAGGATCAGGTACCCTTTATGTTGTTAAGTGCCCCCACTTCCTCCCTTCCCTGGCAGTGTCCCGCTATTGCTGATCCCTTCCTTGTGCTATTCTTAGTAATGTTCATGTTCCACTTATGAGTGAGAACATGTGGTTTTCGGTTCTTTGTTTCTGTGATAGATCGCTGAGAATGATTGTCTCCAATTCTATTCAGTTTGCTGAGAAGTCCATGATTTTGTTCTTATCGCTGCATAGTATATGTACCACATTTTCTTTATCCAGTCTACTTTTGATGGGCAGTAGGGTTGATTCTATGTTTTTGCTATTGTGAATAGTGCAGCAATGAAAATGTGTGTGCAGGTATCTTTTTTTGTATTACGATTTGTGCTCCTCTGGATACATTCCCAAGAGGGAGATTGCTGGATCATATGGAAGGTCAATTTCTGGTTCCCTTAGGTATCACCACACTATTTTTCATATAGGTTGGCTAGCTTGCACTCCCACCAACAGTATAGAACATCCCCTTTTCTCTGCACCTGCGCCAACATCTATTGTTTTTGATGTATTAATAAGGGCCATCCTTACTGGGGTAAGGTGGTATCTCAGTATGGTTTTGATTTGTATTTCTCTGATGATTAGAGAGGCTGAAGGAAATGACAATACAGAAATTCATACGGGAACAAAAAAACAATCCTCAGCAAAAGAAACAAAGCAGGAGGTATCATACTTCCAGACTTTAAGCTTTACAATAAGGCTGCAATAATCAAAACAGCCTGGTATAGGTACAAGAATAGGCATATAGACAAATGGAACAGGATCGAGATTCCAGAAGCATTAACTCAATCTCTCAATCAAATCATCTTTGGCAAAACCACCAGGGAGAAGATACTTTATTCAGCAGATGGAGCTGGGAAAACTGGCTGACCACATACAGACAAATGAAGCAGTTTCATCTCTTCAACATCAACAAAACATTTCTCTTTTTTTCACCCAGGGCGGGGGGAAGTCACATGGGGCAAGATCAGGTGAATAGGGAGGGTGGGGCATAGGGGTTATGCTGTTTTTTTGGTCAAAAAACATCAACTCAATACACACAAAACCCCATAAGAACACACAGAAAAAACCTGCAGCTATTCATGACATAGCCAACTGCTGAAAACCAAAGAAAAAGAGAAAACTTTCAAAGCAGCCAGAGGAGAGTGAGGCTTACTCTTTTTTTTTTTTTTTTTTTTTAAGTTGGAGTCTCACTCTGTCACTCAGGCTGGAGTGCAGTGGCAACCTCATGGCCACTGAAGCCTTGACCTACTGACCTTCCACCTCAGCCTTCCAAGTACCTGGAACTACAGGCGTATGCCACCATGATTGGCTATATTTTTTTTTTTTTTGTAGAGACAAGGACTTACCAAGTTACCCAGGCTAGTCTGGCCCTGGGTTCAGACAATCCTCTTGCCTCCACCTCCCAAAATGCTAGGATTACAGGCATGAGCCACTGCACCCAGCAAGGTTTACTCTTAAAGTTTAGTCTTGGTTGCCTTTTGTGAGTCATGGAGAGTGACTTTCATATATGTTACTACTACATAGGTCCCAAGGGCAAGTTCAGTCACGAGTTCTTAGAATTTGAGTTCCAACCCAATGGGAAATTGAGATATGCCGACAACAGCAATTACAAAAAATGATGTCATGATCAGTAAAGAGTCTTATGTACATAAAAGCGTGATGAAGAAACTGAAGAGAACAATTAATGACAGTGAAATTACCAAACAGGATGATGTTTTATGGCCTCCTCCTGATGAGGTGGACTGGCAGGAGCTTGAAATCATCATTGGAGATGAACACATTTCCTTTACAAATCAAAAACTGGTTCTCTTATTGATGTCCATCAATCTAGAAGGCTTACAAGTATTTTATTTTCTTGTCCGGGACCTAAAGTGTTTGGTCTTCAGTCTTACTGGATTACACTTCAGGATGAAGCCAATCTAAATTAAATATTGGTGTGGACATGAGGGGGTGGAATAGTTACTATTTTCAGAAATATTTTGTGTCTATCAGGGCAATATTTTTTTATAAACTTTAAGTGATTGTCTTTAATAAATATGTGATAAAACCCAATTTTTATAAACAACTTTTTAAAATAAATAAATAAAGCAGCCAGAGGAAAAAAGATGTATTACCTATAAGAGAACAACAATAAAGATTACAACTGACTTATCATCAGAAACAATGCAAGCCAGAAGACAATGAAATGACATCTTTATAAAGCACTCAAGGGGAAGGAAAAAAAATAATAAACCTAGAATTCTTTCTGTATCCAGCAAAATATTCTTCCAAAATGAAGGAAAAATCAAGACATTTTCATATTTGAGAGAATTGGTCCTCAGCATACAGAATTGGTGCTACATTCAGAAATGTTAAAAAGAAGTTCTTCAAAATGAAGGAAAATGATATCAGATAGAAATTCAGTTCTACATAAACAAATGAACATTTTCATAAATTACAAATATATAAGTAAATAGGAGCATTTTTCCTTGTTTCTTAATTTCCTTAAAAGGCAATTAACTGGAGGCCAGGCACAGTGGCTCACGCCTATAATTCTAGCACTTTGGGAGGCTGAAGCAGGAGGATTGCTTAAGCCCAGGAATTTGAGACAATTAACTAGTCCATTGAAAGATAAATGAATAAACAAAATTATCCATTCAATTGAATATTATTTAGCCTCAAAAAGGGATGAAGTTCCCATGCATACATGGATGAACATTAAAAACATTATGCTAAGTGAAATAAGACAGACACAAAAGGATGAATATTGCATGATTCCGCTTACATGAGGTACCTAGGAAAGGCAAATTCATAAGGACAGAAAGTACATCAAAGGTTACCGGGGACTGGAAGGACAAAAAAAAAAAGGAAAGTTATTGCTCAATGGCTAAAGAGTTTCTGTTTGGAATACTGAAAAAGTTTTGGAAATAGATAATAGTGATGGCTGTACAACATTGTGAATGTAATTAATGCCACTGAAATGTACACTTAAAATAGTTAAAATGGCAAATATTATATACATAACCATTTGTCACTTAACTACAAAGATATATTCTAAGAAATGCATCTTAGATGATTTCATTATTGTGAGAACATCATAGAGTGTACTTACCTTAACTTAGATGGTATAGCCTATTACATACCAAGGCTATATGGTCTAGCCTGTTGCTCCTAGGCTATAAACCTGTACAGCATGTTATTGCACTTAATTCTGTAAGCAATTGGAATACAGTGGTGACTATTTGTATATCTAAACATAGAAATTTTTTAGCCTGTTATAATCTTATGGGACTACATTATATATGTGGTCTGTTATTAGCCAAAACATCATTATGTGGAGCATGATTGTACTTTGAACTGAAGAAGATTGGAAGGACCTCAGAAACAAGGTCTTTCTTACCTTCTCCTGTCCTCCTGTCTCTCCCTCCTCTTCTTCCCCCAAAGGGAATCACAGAAACCAGAATTCCTCTTCCCCAAGGCGGGTAATACAAACTAGAATTCCTCTTCCCCAAAGTAAGACATAAAACCTAGAAAGGTCACTCTCTCCTTTTTTCCTTCTCCCTTGAAAACTGTCATTCCATAGGGGTCCTGCCCTATACCTGGGGAAAGGGAAGAATGATACACAGAGACGCCAAGAAGAATCTGAGCCTTACTGGGTTTTCCCCCTCAGTCTACTACCGTTAGATCACACCTTTTTGTCTCATCACATTTCTAAACAGCTATCTATATATTCTTTATCAAACCTAAGCATAAAAGTAGCATTCCCTGGGTGTTTGGGCCTTCATTTCTGAAGACTTTTGCATCACATAAAACTCTGATTAAATGTGTTATGCTTTTTTCTTGTTAACCTGTCTTTTGCTATCAGAGTGTTGGCCATGGCCCTTATGACAAGTGAAGAAAGATACCATAACTTTCCACCTCATAGCAGTTTGTTGTCCCGGCAACCAAAAGGGTTCTGAGTGATTCATTGCTGGTGGGAAGGGGACTTGTATCCTAGATAGTAGATATATCTGCAAGCTACATTCTCAGAGGGGCAGCCAGTATTAGTGAGAGAAGTGTATTGCTTAAATCAAGAGTCAGCAAACTTTTTGTGAAAAAAGCTTGAGTAAATACTTTAGGCTTTGTAGACCACATGGTCTTTGTTCCAAATATTCAACCGTGCTATAGTACAAAAGCAACCACAGACACTTATGTAAAAGAATGAGCATAGCTATGGGCCAATAAAACTATGAACACTGAAATTTGAATTTTGTGTAATTTTTACATCACATAGCATGATTCTTCCTTCTGTATTTTAAAACCATTTAAAAATGTTAAGCCCATCCTTAGGTCATGAGCTATACAAAAACAAAGTGAGTGAGGTTTGCCCCATAAGCTGAATTTGCCAACCTCTGACTTAGATTCTCATCTCTAGATGAGGTAATAATTCTCTTTTGCCCTCCCAGGGCAAGAAAAATGATGAGTCCCCAGGATTCAACCACATGTAGGGCAAAGAAAGTGGAAGGTACTTTCCAGCTTTCCTCCAAGACTAACTATGATTGGATAGGAAAACAGCCCATTGGGAAGAGTAAAAGGAATGCCTTCCTCATCTTCTGAACTCCAGGTGTTTGGGATAAGCTATGAGTAGGGTTGTGTCCTTTCTGAAAATAGATTCATCCCACCATGCCCCTCCAAACACTACAGGGTTTAGAGATAAGATTATGTTTTCTTTTACTTTTTTTGTGTTGGAGTCTCACTCCATCACCCAGGCTGGAGTGCAGTGGCATGCTCATGGCCACCCCAGCGTCAACCTGCTGGACTCCAGCGATCCTTCCACCTCATCCTTCCAAGTAGCCAGAACTATAGGCACACGCTCCCATGCCCAGCTAATTTTGTGATTTATGGTAGAGATGAGGTCTCACCAAGTTGCCCAGGCTGTTCTCAAACCCATGGGCTCAGGCAATCCCCTCACCTCAGACTCCCAAAGTGCTGGGATTACAGGCTTGAGTCACCATGCCCGGCCAAGATTACATTTTCTTAATCATAAATATTCTTGCGCTATGAGATCCACAGAGGTATTATTCCAATCTCTTCACTGCATAAAGACATTGAAGAGAAAGACCTTCTTGGCTTGGAGGCAGCAGAACTCTGAAATAGTAGGATAGTCCTTAAATAAGAGGGAAAAAGTCTTAAAGTAGATAAAAAGGGGGGAAATGCATTCCTTTCCTCCTTAAAATTAGACTGTGGGTCATGACGAAGGAAGAACAGCACTTAACAGGTTCGTCTGAAGCAGTTGTGGGTCTAAAGGGGATGCAGAACTCTGAATTGATTAAAATTAGAAAAGAAATTGGGGAGGAACAAAGCCAGCACATTTCAGAAACATACGGTTGCCCGAGTTAGAAAATAAAAATACACCCAGTTAAATTTGAATTTCAGATAAACAAGTGATTTTTTAGTGTGTCCCAAATATCATATCCTATGTTCTATCTGCAATTCTACAGACTGTGGTGAGGAAAGGAGCTGAGGTCTTCCAGCTCTGTCTGCACAGGGGAACCTGGGACTCTAGAAAGCCATGGCTTCTGGGGGCCCTGAATGGCTGCCGGAAACCTCTGGGGACTCATCAGTCATCCCATTTTAGTTCTGATCGCTTACACCAAAGGGTAGTAATTTTTTACTCCTTATGAGGAATAAGCATTTGCCTTTTTATAAAGGCAGAATGTTACTGCGAGGCTTTTATGCCGTGTGGGTAAAAGCTTGTGGCCCCCGATTCCTTAAAAGAGCGTAAAAGATGTTTTGAAAATGCATATGTACCCCCTGAATCTAAAATATAAATAGATAAATAAAAATTTTAAAAAGATAAGGTTGTGGCAATACACCTCACCTATTTTCTCTGGTCCTTTTTCTCTCTGTTTCCCTTCCCTCCCCTCCCTCTCCCTCCTTCTTCCCTCTTCCTCCCTTCTCTCTCCACCCCCATCCCTCCCTCTCTCTCTCTATCTCTATTTCTATATTGATAATCTCTCTTTTTGCATTTTGGGTACAGTCTTAACTAGTGTCTGCTTAAATCCCTTCTCAGATGAAGACCTGAAGAAACTCAAAAATGAGCTGCTTAAGTGGGTAAATTCCTTTTAATTCCCCGTTGGGTTCCAAAAGAACACATTCTTTCATTGACTGCAACAAGGATTTCCCTTCCTCCAGTTCTGAACTAGCTATTCCCAAACTATAAATGTTCAATTACTTCCCAGACAACAAATGCACATTTTGCTTCCTCCGTGCTGTATATTTTCTGCGGTTTGCATTATCGTTTGCTAAATACACTCAGACACTCTATTTACCTCTGGCTGCAACGCTGAGACCTTTATGTGACTTCTCACCCTCTAGGAACAGCCCAGATAAATCACTGCTCAACCATTTAGCACACAAAGAAGAGAAGATTCTAATTTGCCAAATAGGATCATTTATTTAATTTATCTGGCTGCTCAGGAGTTGTGGAAATGATGTTAACGTAGACTGGGAAAAGCACCACAAAACCCTTCAGGTTTTATCTCACCTCTGATGGGGCAGTCCATATATTCTTACCAGTGTCTCTCTTGAAAATGCATAAGCCTTTTATTCCTTCCACTGGGTGGTGAATCCATGAATGTGCTGTATTGTTATTCTGTATAGTTATTCTGTATAGCTTACACAGAAATTATAAATATTCTTGGTGTTTCATTTTTCATTAAAAAATACCCACTAAGAAAAGAAAACAAAATGCCTTAACCTTTATGCCAACTGGCAAAGCTGTCACTTTGCGAAAGCAAGATGGAGAATATGAGATATCTTCACAGATGGTTAAATTTAGTGTATGTCCAAGAGATGGATCTTTGCACTAGGAAATTAGAAACCTAAGTTTTAATCCCAGTTTGGCCCATGCAAAAGGTCATCATTAGTCAATAAGTTCCTCAAAGACAAGGACTGCATCCTGT